TATCTCCGCCAAATGAGTGGATGTTTTCTCTAACCTATTATTATGTCATTAATTCATATATTATTTTATTACCGTATTACGCCGCATATAGGTGCATGCACTTATATCTGAGTTTTCACACAAGGGGTGCACCTATATCCGGATATAGGTGCGTTAGTTTTTAGGCAATTTTTGCATTTTAGATGAAATCTACATATTCATTAAAATAAAAATCATAAGATGTGTAATTAGACTTTTAACACTAAAGTGCGTCTAAATGTTTGAAATATATTTGTATTTTCTTAAAAATTAGTGAGTTTTATAAAGGTTAAGTAGATTCGTGTAAAATGTCTCAAGTAATGGACATGTCTACAAGTCATACATCAATTCTATTGATTAAATTGATCAGATACATGAAATATTTATGTGTTTGCTTTCATTATTAATGATTGTATAATTTACTCATTAACTTATTAACTTTTATAAATAATTTTGACAAATAAATGTTGGTGCACTTATATGTGATTTTTACACAAGGGGTGCACTTATATCCGGATATAGGTGCGGTAGTTTTGGTGACATGCAATATCTGTGAAATTCACTTATAAGTGCATGCACCTATATGCGGCGTAATACGGTAATAAATAGTAAATAAAATTTGTAAAAAACAAACAATTAATTGATACCCATTTGAGAGCCAATAACTGATCATAGAGTCCGACATTTGCGGGCGCGTCCTCCCGATCCCCGTATAGCCAACCAAACGGTCCTAACCTGTAGTTGACGGACACAACCACCACATTGTGTGCCGCCAATAGACTAGAGTTGTATTGTTGTTGAAATATGGACCCAATAACAAAAGCTCCGCCGTGTATCCAAAACATGACTGGTTTTAGGGCCGCTTTCTGTCTATAACCGGTGCTGATAGTAGGGGTCCATACGTTCAACACCAGACAGTCTTCACTTTGTGTGATATTTCTCACCGGATCAAAGTCATCATATTCTTCTACAAACTTTTGTACACATGATTTACCATGTTTAGTCCCATCGATGTACTGCTTAATTCATAGAAAATATTAGTATCTACTGTATATAAAGTTATAAGTTAATATTAATATGTAACATAATAATATTATGCAATATAATATTAATATAATAAATACTAACACATAATTAGTTTTTAAATCAAACATACTTTTGGAGTTTTAATGGCTGTAGGTTTGGCAAACCTGAGTACCCCTACCGGGGGTTCGGCATAAGGTATGGCCAAAAACTGGTCAACACTTGTGTTCAACACA